GTTGTCTCTCATGTTGACCGTCGTAAAATACCCTTTTTAGTCACTTGTATTCAAGTCCTGAAATACACAATGCACATTAAATATACTAATCTTAAAAATAAAAAAAAAAAATCAAAAAACTCCCAAAATTCAAATCTTCACAATTTCTCTCTCTTCCATTTCAAAAGAAGCGATGACGTCATCCTTCCCGCCACTCCCCTTGTAGCTGTACCACTTGGCGCAAACAAGAAAATACACAAAATTCAAAGCACACAAACCAGCGACAAGGTAATAGAAATAATCCAACCTCCCTTTATTCAGATCCTCCGGCAGCCAATTCCCGGCCGGCGAACCCTCCGTCGCCCTGTGCACCACCGATATCAAGAACCCGTTCAGGTAGTTCGCCGCCGCCATCCCGCAGAAGAAGAAGGACCCCGCCACGCTCCTCATATTCTCCGGGAACTCCTTGTAGAAGAACTCCACCTGCCCGATCGCGCAGAACGCCTCCGCCAGCCCCGCCAGCGACAGCTGCGGCACCAGCCACATCGCCGACATCGCCGACACGGCGCCGGCGCCGCCACCCGGAGCCCGCCTTCTTCTTTCCTGCTCCACGGCGGCGGAGATGAGCGATTCCACTACCGTGAGTGCGATTCCGATCCCGATTCTTTGGAGGACGGTGATTCCGCCGGGTTTTCCGGTCAGTTTTCTGAGGAAGGGGACGGCGGCTCTGTCGTAGAGTGGGACCCAGAGGGTGAGGGTTAGCATGGAGAAGACGGCGTAGGTGGCCGGAGGGATTTGGAAGGTGGAGGCGGCGGTGAGGTGGCGGTCGGACTGCATTGCTTGGAAGACGACGTACTGCTGCTTCTCGCCGACGTGGTAAAGTACGGCGGCGGCCCATATCGGCAGTACGCGGAGGAGGCATTTTACTTCCTCCACTTGCTGAAGGCTGCACAGCCGCCACGGGTTGGCGGCGGAGCCGTCTGGTTTCACGGCGTCTTCTGGGGTTACGATTGCCGCCTTGTCAAGAAATCTGATAACAAAAAATTCTTAAATTAATATTTAATTATTTTTCAAAGTGTAATTGGACATTTAGAATAAACACTATATAGAAAATGTTGATTATTTATTTTAAATAAATAAAATTTAGACCATTTTTTAAAAATAAAATATACAAAAGAGGATAATGAAAATGGTATAAATTAAATACCACGTAATTAATTTAGATATTTACATATAAAATAATTTTAAATTCTCAACAACATTACAATGCAAGTATAGATATTTCATCTACTTATTATTTATATTGTTTATAATTATAAATTATAATTGTTAACCATGATGCATATATCCTTGAAAACATTTTTAATAAAAGAAAATGAAGAAAAGCTTTGAATATACATTTTTAACTCTAATATTTAATTAAAATATTTTAATTCATTCTTAAAATATATATTGTTAAAAAAAGAATTTTAGAAACTGATATGTATACAAAAATAAAATTAAAATGAGTACTAATAAGTAATAAATCCAGACAAAAACGAGAAAAATGAAAGATATGACAAGATATTTTTTTTTTTTTTTGATAATTATGAAGGATTTTGCAAGCAATTAATTATTTATGTTCGGTAAATTAAGGGGATTTGAAGTTGAGTTATTCAACAAAATAATTAATGAAGAAAAAAATATGTTTGTAATTATGTAACAATGAGATATAATTCAACATTTTAAACTCTATTTGACTGTTAAGTAAAAATGTATTTCAAACCCTCAAAATACATTTTTCTCTCATCACTTTTCAAATTTAATAATTTGACTGCTACAAGGTAAATACATATTCTCCTAGTATATATATAAATAAACATTATTGTACACACACAAAAAAAAAATATATATATATTTAGATATAAATTAGTAAAGATTTAAATAAGTTGGGGGGCATGACCCCCTTTGACTTTATCCTGGCTCAGCCGCCACCGGATATCACCTGGAAATCATTATTGCAGTGCTAGGGTTTTGAAAATTATGCTAGAATCTTGATTTCGTTTAATTATATAATAATAATATAGGCAAGTGTACTGTCACAAGTTGTTATTTAGTACTTTGTTTTTTTTAAGGTTTTCTTGCCTAAGAAATTATCTAGTGGCAAATTTAAAATATTTGAATGACTGTAATCAATGGATTCAAGACTATCCAAGTTGACTTTCCCAAAAAAAAAAAAAAAAAAAAAAAAAAGTTGACACAAGTTGACAGTAGATTTAATTGTCTTAGAAGAATCTTGATCTACTTTGAGTGATGCAAATAATCTGGTCATGTTAAATAATTTTTGGGGCACGTGTAAAAAATATTTAAAAATATTTTACTAATAGTTAGGCCGACAATGAACTAGGATTTAGTGGAGTCGATTATGTCTACGTATATATTTTATGAACACAAGGTAAAATATAATTTTGCATAAATTATAAAAAAAGAAAATTATATAAAAAAAATATGAATTTTGTTGGATATTTGACTATCGAAATCAAATGTAATTTATTATTTTAATTTTCTTTAAAATCAATTGTCAATTGTATCTACTGAAATATAGTATAACCTCGATAAATTAATTGCACCACTTAAATAATAATTTCTTTCAGTCCCGACTCGATGAAAATATGTTAAATTATTAACTCGATAATTTAATAATTAACTAAATTAATAGAATTTCCGTAGCCCTATTAATGTATAAAGGTTCAATTGTACTATGATTTATTATTGGTAGTTAATGGGCGGTTTTGTCTACAACTTAAGTGGTGTTTGCAAATACGTTTAAAAATACATTATGAGTTTTTTTATGCATATAATCTGTTTTCAGGTGTTTGCAAAACAAGTTTTTTCTCTTGGTTCTTTTAAAATAAGTTGTTTTAAACTGAACTTTAAAAACACCCATGTACCTGTTTTTTTTCTATTTTAGTTGATTTTCTTGTTAATTCACAAACACCTCCAACTTTTAGAACTAATCACGTAATTCCAACTTAACTCAGAATTAATAACTTCTGCTTTTAAATAAGCTTTTGCAAACAACACCTTTAGTAGTTCATTATGCAAGGTCTTTACTTCTCTTTGTGTATTCTTGTTTTAATAATTTTTTTTGCACATACACAAGTTATATATATACTTGTGGATAAATATTTAATTAAATCTTGTGTTGTTTAATTTTCGCTGCAAAACGTTTCTTTAAACGTACAAGCACCCGTTAAATCATTTGCGTAAATCACCGTTTTACTATCTTTTTACATCATACTACACGAATTCGGTGCCGTTGATTTCTTTTAAATTTATTTTAAAAGAAAAAAAATAATATTAATAATAAAATTGGATAGGGGTGAGCAAGTCGGACCCATCAACCCGCTACACCCGTCAAATCCGTGAAAAACCGCCCCGTTGGGACCGGACGGATAGATCCATCCATAGGATTGGGTCCTAAAATGGTAAAGAACCGTGGGTTTGGGTCTTAGACGGGTTCAATTTTTTTTAATACCCGTGAAACTCGTCCCGCCCCGCCATACAAAACGACGTCGTTTTGTTTACATTATATAGTATAATAAATTAATAATATTAATGAATAAATAAAGTATCTCTAGTGTATCAAATACATAAATCAACTAAACTATAATTGTGGAAGTAATAGCTATAACGATTATGAAAATCTCTAAGAAAATGTAGGAAAAAAAACATATATATACAACGGTCAACACACGGCAGAAAAAAAAAGGAAGAAAATGGTGTTGAATGGAGCTGAATAGCGTTGTTTATGCTTGAAAAAACTATATTTATTTTATTTAAATTTCGTCTTTTAAGTTATGAATTAGTTATTTTTAGTTTAATATTAATTTTTATTTACTCTTGACATTTACATTATTTATGTTTGGTTTCAATTTAAAATTTTAGGTTATTAATTTTAGCTTCTAATTATTCTCCGGTAAAACTTATAAATTATATATAAAAAAAAATAGTTTAGACGATAACGGGTTTCGACCCGTAAAGGTTGGGTCCTACTACAAACCCGCCATGGACCCGCCTATCGTAAACTCGTTAAAAACCCACAAGTTTGGTTCTTCAAAATCAAGAACCGTTGTTTGACGGGACGAGGGCGGGTTTTGATAGAACCCGCGGGTTTATGGCCCGCGCACACCCCTAAAATTGGAGGTGGAAATAATTAGAAGTGTGATTGTGGTAGCAGTTGGCTCATGCAAATCGTTGCACGACACGACTCAACAAATTATTGCTTTGTTTAATTTTAGCGTAGGGCCTAACGTTACGTCAACATCTTTTTAATTAAATTATATTATTTTTTAGATTCATAAAGATCAAAATATCTATCACTATATGACAACATCAATTTTCATTTTTTTTTAATTTTTTTTTGTAATTTTTGTTTATCTTTTTTTTTTTTTGAATACATAATTATTATATAAATGTCACGAAAAATCCTAGGCAAAACAAAAATTACTAATTATTAAAAGTATAAATTACGAAAACTCCCTGAACTTAAGATTAATAACAAAAACAACCACACTTATTCGTAATTACCAAAAACCCCCTATGGTTTGTTTCTGTCTATCACCAACCCTCTTACAATATGACTTTTCACGGAATTTTTTCTCTCTTAGGGAAAAGACTTTATATTTCGTTTTATTTCTCACCTATTTAACATAAGGTATTATAGATTGTACATATTTTATGTTAAGAAAAACTCGATCAACGGTTAATCAAAGGAAAATTTTGGTTATTACGGATAGATGAGGGCGTTTTTTGTTATTTAACCTAAATTCAGGGGCATTTTTGTAATTACCCTAAATTAAATTATTTTTTAGATTCATAAAACTCAAAATATCTATGACAAGGACAATGACAACACAATTTATTATTATTATTATTATTATTATTATTATTATTATTATTATTATTATTATTATTATTATTATTTATTATTTTTTTTAATGTTAGAAATTTTTTTTAAAATATATATAATTATTCTAAATGTCACGAAAAAATCCTAGGCAAAACAAAAATTAATAATTACTTAAAAAAAATAAATAAATAAATAAATAAATAAAGTTGAAATATTTACCTGAACTGTTCGGTGTAAGGAAGCCTGGAGTTGATGGACTTAGGCGGCGCGTAGCTGAAGAGGCTGAGCCACGGCTGCGGAGGGTGCTTCAGCCGCCTCTTCCTAACAGCAACCGCCACCACCTGCGCCACGCTAGTCAACGGGCTCCCCTCCGGCTTGACCATCACATAGATCCTCGTGCCGGCGAAGAAAAGAAACAACGAGATCAACATAAACCCCGCCGGAATCGCCAGTCCGATGGGCCAGCTGAGATCGGACTGAACGTAGACGACGAGCGTCACCGATACCATCTGCGCGAAGGTGAGCGTGAAGAAGTACCAGTTGAAGAAGCTGTCGATTCCCCTCTTGCCGGAGACTGTGTTCGGGTTGAACTGGTCGGCGCCGAACGCCAGGTTGCAGGGCCGGATTGCTCCGGCGCCGATAATCAGTAGCCCGAATCCGGCGTAGAGGAACGCCGTCTGCGGCGGGGTTGCGCCGACGCATGTGGTGGTTCCCGGCGAGCAGTGGGGTGGGTGCAGGTTTTTGAAGGCGGCGGTTAGAGTTATCACCAGCAACCCCTTCATTGAAATTAAATAATTAAATTAAATTAAATTAAAATTATGACATTTATAATTAATTACTAATGTATATATATTGATGATCAATTATATAATTTGTTAATGGAAAATATTTGTTCCTATTCTATTTATTTTATTGTAGAGAGAAAATTAGGGGTTTTGAGCAATTGTTTTATGATTTGAATTATACTTTAGAATAGAACTATTTCTTGAATATATTAAGAAATTACATAATTATACTTCAAATATATATTGTAATAACACAAATGTAGCACCATATTCTAAAAAAAAGGAATTTGAAGGTGGAATATTTGAAACATAGAAAAGTTCGAAAAATCGAATTGTACGCGGTGTTTTAATAAACGGTGGAGCGTCGTCGGCACGGTGGCGAAGCAGAAAATAATTGTAATTTCTAATATTTTACAAAAAATAAATAAAAAATATATCTCAAGTTAATAATAAAAATAAATAAATAAAGTTATGACATTATCTTGTACAATGTACACTATAACTTCTTTAATTGGGAAAAAAATTATTTAAAATTATATTAAAATAAAAAAGAAAAAGGATGATTTGATGATTGAGAAAGAATTAATACCAGAAAGGAGGCGAAGGAGCCGAAACCGAGGGTTTTGTAGCGACCAAAATAAGTGTCGCAAAAGTAAGCACCAAAAAGCGTCGCAAAATTGGTAGTGCCGTGGAAGACACTAAGAAGCGTTGTTGCAGAAATGCGCTTCATGTTGAAAACAGTGGTCAGATAAACCTGCAGATTTGATAGTGTCCCAATTGCTCCCAGCTTCTCAAACGTCTCATTCCCTGTTTTTTTTTTTTTTTTTTTTTAATTAACTCACAGAGAGAGATGTAGAGAGAGAGAGAGAGAGAGAGAGAGAGAGAGAGAGAGAGAGAGAGAGAGAGAGAGAGAGTACCTATAATGAAGGGCATAGCTTTGACACCTCTGTAATGAATCTTGTCAGTGACAACATCGTCGTTTTCCATGTCTGTTTTTTCCTTTGTCGCCATTTTTTAGGAGGTGAGAGATTGTAAGAAGATGAGTTGAGGAAGAAGAACAAATGCTTACCTATTATATATATATATTCTATTTTATTTTTCTCAACTTTTTATTTTTTTATTTATTTTTTTAATGCTGTCCCACCTTCCAATTTATATAACACCACACCTGGTATTCTTGTCCTTTTTTTATTTTTTTAATCTATTTTTCTCACTTTGTGGGGACCACCTTTTGTTTTGCAGAAATACTATGATACAAATGTAATTAAAAATAATAATAATAATAAATAGAGTAGTTTAGAGAGTTACGTAATGTGTTTTTTTTTTTTTTTTTTTAACATAAGATCTGATTTTATTTGGGTGGTTAGCATATACACTCTTCAATTAATGAATGATTGTCATTTTGCACCCCAAAGTTATAATTTTGGCGCATTGTGTCCTCAACTTAATTTTTACTTCCCAAAATCCACCCTAATGCACACTATGGTATGGTGGTGTTTGCAAAAGCTTATTTGAAAGCAGAAGTTATGGATTGTGCGTTAAGTTGATTTTAAGTGCTTATTTCTAAAAGTTCGGGGTATTTGCAAATTTACTGAAAAATCAACTTAAATAGAAAAAAAGAGGGTCATTGGTGCTTAACAAATAATAGCTTAAAATTGCTTATTTTAACAGAAGCAAAAGAAAAATTCATTTTACAAACACTTAAAAATAGAATATGAGCAAAATAAAAGCTCATAATCTATTATAAAAACTTTTGCAAGCACCACCTATATGTTTGCCATTGAAATCAAAATTGAAAAACAAAATATGCCTAAAGTGACTAAACTATCATGCATATATATTTAGAAAACTATCGAATATGCATAAAGTGCTAAAATACCCATTCAAATTAAATTAATTATTTAATGTTTAATCCATGTCTCAACTAATTGAAGATAATAAAGGGCAAGTTGAGAGAAGTGCAATTAATGCATCATTGAAAATTTAAAGTAACAAATAATTTGAAATAAAAAAAAACCGAAATGTTGAATGTCGTTTTGCATTTTACTAATACCGTTTTGGTTTAGAATGGAATTTTGACCATTTTCTAGTCCGATTTTGGAAATATACAAAACACACAAATTGCAGCTATTTGTGTTAACTTTCTAATTCAACACGAGTCAGCTAATTTGGTATCATATGATAAAGTTATGAATGATTGACACGTTTTGAGTTTTAGATAACTCAAATTATCAAATTTATGGGCAGTGTTAATTGATTTATGAACAACTTTCTCATCAAATATCTAATCTTGATGATTCAAGATGGATAAGAAACCTGAATTGAAGAATGAACTACAGATTTTGTGTTTTGAGTTTTACCTAATCAGACTAAAAAATGGTCAAAATTAAGTTTGAAGTTAAAACGGTATTATTAGAACTGAAACGACATTTATCACATCCCATAAAAAAATCTAGAGAGACGAAAAAATAATTTGATCACATGGTGGGAAAAGTTCTTACATAACTAAGATTAACTTAATTAATAAAAAATCAGTTATAACATAAAAAAAAAAAAAAAAAAAAAAAAAAAAAAAAAAAAAAAAATCATACATGCCTTCATCCTCATTGTTGAAATTGGCAGAATTTTCATCCTAATTCAACCACAAAAGTGTATAGGGTGGATTTTGCCAAATCATCTAAATTTAAGGTGCAATGTGTGATAAATTTACAATTTTGAGGTGTAAAGTGACAACTTAATCTAATTGAAGGATGCTTTTTGTCAACTGTCATATTTTATTTTATTTTAATTAACATATATAGGATGTCAATATGAATAGAATATGCACATGTGGGCTTAAAATATAGAAAATGGAGAAAACTAGTCAACAGCTGTACTAATTTCCACAATCTGTGTAAGCAAAGAAAGTGACAGAAGACTGTGTTTGAGATTTAGATTCAAAGTCAATAATTAAAAAAATATGGCTCAAAATTTAATCTAAGTGGTCCAAATCCAAAATGTGTTTGTTACATAATTAATATTTCCATTTTTTTTCAATTTTTAAATGCATTAGTTGACCTAAGATTGAATCCTCATATCAACAATCGTTAGGTCGAACATGTCGCACATGAGTAAGTCTAGTGTGGTTACGTCTTTCGTATGGTTAGCATGGTATTATCCATTAGTATAGGTTTACTCACTGTACCTATATAATTAGCTGCGGGTATTCTTTAAATTCTTGAAATTGTATAAATAATTAATAATTATAAACCATATTGAGAAATAATTTATTACAAATACTTCATAATACCTCTTAAAAAATACTAAATAGTACAAAGGATGATATTTCATATTTAACCATGAAACAATATCATATATTATCATCATAAATTATGTAATAATAATATCAATTGCTAGTGCCTGTCCTTTTTGGAGAAAAAAATTGAACACTAAATTAGTGGGTTGTTGGTAAGAAAAAACAAATGATTTATCACCCAAAAAAAAGATAAAAGAAAAATTAATAGGTTTATTGAAATTATCTCATTGGATCTCTACTCCAAAACAAAAAGGCAAATAGAAAAAGAAATAAGAGAAAACTAAGCAGTTCAGACTTTTCGAATCTATATGAAAGTATATATAATTATATACATTATAACATCGATAAATTAATAATCTCACTTTAATAATATTTTTTTCCGGTCCCGACTCAGTAAAAACATACTTCATTTTTAGTTCGTTAATTTAATATTTCGCCAAATTAATAGAATTTTGCTAGTAATGAATGAATATATATATATATATATATATATATATATATATATATATATATATATATATATATATATATATATATATATATATATATATATATATATATATATATATATATATATATATATATATATAATTGAGCCAATGCAATGGGCCTACGATTTCTTTATTTATTGGGCCGCGAGCCCAATATTGAAGACTACTACAATCGAGGCACAATCAGCTTCACATAATGTTTGGGCCCGACAATTACAATTACTAATTTCAGCCCAACCAACTCGATATAAATAACAATTATTATTCATTTGTTAAGGTACGTTCAATATTCGAATCATATAACTGCTCGTATTCTCTTTACGAGTTTTGCTATCCACACACTTGACTTGGGTGCCGGAGGGATTTCCGCGGGATCAACTCCCGGCTTATTTTACGTGTTCTATTATCGCAGGTATCTCAAAGTCATCAAGCTCGTGAACCAGTGATCCACTTTGCTCATCATGCTCATCATACTTCAACTATTTAAGATGATCTAACTTTAGCATCATCAATATGTAACATATATACACTTGAACTTGCAATGTATTTTTTTTTTTAATTAAGTAATAGTGCTTGCAGTTAAAAGAGAGGATATTATCGAATGACTTATGAGATCTTACACCTGGTGAAATACACTATGTGATATAAACTGTTTATCTACATAAATAACTATCTATTAAACACACATACATATTAAAACTATATGGTGTATTTTACAAAATGTATGTGTTGGGAATCGGACACGTGTACGTAGCGGAAAACAAAAATTTTATGCGATTTAAACAAATTTAAAGCACATAAACACATGTCTGATAACTGAAAACAATTAATTGTGTACCTTTGCGCTTCCAGCGAAATTAAAAACAACATACATGCTTAATTACTTAACCGAAATTAAATCAATTAGCATGCTCGCGTTTAAATCAAATAACATGCTCGCAGTAAATAAACAATTTCATGTAGTCACATAAAATCATACAATTATTATACTAAAACGAACATGCATATATTAATTTAAACGATACCGAATCGAACGACAATGGATTCGAAACATTACCTCTTGAAGCGTGAGGTAGGTGCACTAAGCGAAGCTAGATTGCCACGGAAACCAATCCGTGCAATCCGGGGCAGCAACGGCGATGCAACAGCGGCGAAGATCCGAGCGGCATCGCGTGTGATTCACGCGCTGTCTTCGGGCGGCGCGTGGGATTGCGTGCGACGTCGGATCGTGTGCTGCTCCTCGATTCTTCGATCTTCGGTCTTCCTCCTATCGGATTTCACCTTGTATACTTCGATCTATTAAACTGTGGCACTAGACACGAAGTAGTTAGAATAAAACGGAAAGAAACGAAAAGAGAAAATAGCTACCAAAAGGATCGGCCAACGGATGGCCGATTCCGGTGAGATGGTGGCGACGACGGCGGTGGTGGCCGCGGGTTGAGATCGGCCGAGAGAGGTGAGAGCGGCTAGGGTTTAGTTCGTGTGTTGTATGTGTGCAAGACCTATAAATCAAGTATTTATAGTGTCTTGCATAAAAGCCCTAACGGGCTTAAGTTGGACCGGACCCAACAGCTTAAGTTCGTTAGTCTTTTATTTGCTCGTCTCTCTCAATTCGATGATCGGAAAATTGTAACAATTATATTTTCGGAATCACTATAATGTCCTCGTCATTACGAGTGCCAACTCTCGATTTCCAACTTTCCAAAAGTGGAAACCCTAATTCAGTGCACTTTCTAAATTTGGAAATTTCCTGATTTAGAAAGTCCACTAAGACTTCGTTTGATAGGATTAAGCATTGAATGCTGAATGCTGAATACACATCTGAACCCAATCATATTGACTTCCAATCATGCAAAGATAAACCATTTTTACATTTGACCGTTTATTCAAATATCTCATGTGCAATTTTACTATATTAACCCTCATAATTTCTAACAAATAAAATTAACTACTAACTGAATTGTAATGAAAAAATTCTAAAAAAACCGTTAAGATGAAACTCGTTTCACCTTAATCACCCAACAAATCAAGATTGGCGTCTAGCAACTACGCGTCATGATTCCCTAGATACAAATGAAGTGCCTGCAAGAACCTTCAGATATAGTTAACGTACAGTACGATCCTTTCGATTCATATGTCCCGATTGAACTAGAGGCATTGGTTCATCGAGACCTCTTTATTTGTTCAATGACTGTGCGATCGTTCTAAGTGTTGTAATCGTTATGTGTATGACTTAGAGAATCGAATTCTCTAATCATCACTTAGTCAGCTCTGGCCAGAGACTTAAAGAGATTACAAACTGTAAGAACACACAGGACATCCAAGACTATTCTAGCGATCGAATCCCCGACTACAATGCACAGACCTCCCATGCACATAAATTAAATCAATTAGCATGCTCGCGTTTAAATCAAATAACATGCTCACAGTAAATAAACAATATCATGTAGTCACATAAAATCATACAATTATTATACTAAAACGAACATGCATATATTAATTTAAACGATACCGAATCAAACGACAATGGATTCAAAACATTACCTCTTGAAGCGTGAGGTAGGTGCACTAAGCGAAGCTAGATTGCCACGGAAATCAATCCGTGCGATCCGGGGCAGCAACGACGATGCAGCAGCGGCGAAGATCCGAGCTACGGCGGCGCGTGTGATTCACGCGCTGTCTTCGGGCGGCGCGTGGGATTGCTTACGACGTCGGATCGTGTGCTGCTCCTCGATTCTTCGATCTTCGATCTTCCTCCTCTCGGATTTCACCTCGTATACTTCGATCTACTAAAACGTGGCACTAGACATGAAGTAGTTAGAATAAAACGGAAAGAAACGAAAAGAGAAAAGAGCTACCAAAAGGATCGGCCAACGGATGGCCGATTCCGGCGAGATGGTGGCGACGGCGGCGGTGGTGGCCGCGGGTTGAGATCGGCCGAGAGAGGTGAGAGCGGCTAGGGTTTAGTTCGTGTGTTGTATGTGTGCAAGACCTATAAATCAAGTATTTATAGTGTCTTGCATAAAAGCCGTAACGGGCTTAAGTTGGAACGGGCCCAACAGCTTAAGTTCGTTAGTCTTTTATTTGCTTGTCTCTCTCAATTCGATGATCGAAAAATTGTAACAATTACATTTTCGGAATCAATATAATGGCCTCGTCATTACGAGTGCCAACTCTCGATTTCCAACTTTCCAAAAGTGGAAACCCTAATTCAGTGCAATTTCTAAATTTGGAAATTTTCTGATTTAGAAAGTCCACTAAGATGTTCGCTTATTCTTTTTCTTTTCTTATTTTCATTCATAATTCTAAATTACGAATGTTGGACCCAATCATATTGACTTCCAATCATGCAAAGATAAACCATTTTTACATTTGACCGTTTATTCAAATATCTCATGTGCACGAGCAGTGTGACCCTCGATGGTTCATGTGTAAGCTAGTCGTGGGCCCACAACCCTTTGTGGTCAAAACTCGTCCCTTAGAGTTACGATTAAGATGAAACTCGTTTCACCTTAATCACCCAACGAATCAAGATTGGCGTCTAGCAACTACGCGTCATGATTCCTTAGATACAAATGAAGTGCCTGCAAGAACCTTCAGATATAGTTAACGTACAGTACGATCCCTTCGATTCATATGTCCCGATTGAACTAGAGGCATTGGTTCATCGAGACCTCTTTATTTGTTCAATGACTGTGCGATCGTTCTAAGTGTTGTAATTGTTACGTGCATGACTTAGAGAATCGAATTCTCTAATCATCACTTAGTCAGCTCTGGCCAGAGACTTAAAGATATTACAAACTGTAAGAACACACAGGACATCCAAGACTATTCTAGCGATCGAATCCCCGACTACAATGCACAGACCTCCCACTAGATTTCGGACTGCACGAACACTGGCCCTTGGGATGGTCCTCGGTGGAACTCAGGGATAGGTCACGATACAGCTGATCCTCTAGTGAAGTAACGGTGATGTCTAGGTCATAAAGACTAATGGTGTACAACTATACCATAGATATCTCTACTCGATTATTGGGAACCACTTAGAGATTTCTAGGGTGAGGGAGTTCAGTGAACTCGTCAACTTACGAGCACCAACTTATGCATGCCGATATCACAATACCGTTTACTGATGAGATGCAGTACACATACACTAAGTGCTAGTCTCTTAATGGGAAAGGCCGATATCCTCATTGGTAGCGTAACCCTTCGACTAGGAACACGTTTAACAGTTATAATACTTAAGTAAATATCTCACGATCCTAACGATCAATTACTAGTACTTGTAATAACTGTAAGAACTATATCTATGTTTGTGACAAAGGGACAAAGATATAGAATGCCAAGGTGTTTTATCGTCAATACGAAAGATTCGTTTATTACCATAATAAATACGAAAGACGACAGCCACATGTTGGCTTGTTGGTCACTTACTCTAACAGTATGTTCTACAAAACCCTATTGAAGTATAATAAATTTTGTAATGATCCGACCTAATTCGGCAAATTAATAAGTCTGAATAATCACTAACTAAAAGTGAGAAACGAGTAAAGCTTGAATAAAGTGGCAACGTGGCCCAATCTAGGCAAGATTTGGTACGAGAATATGATATACTATCTGACATGCAATACACGGAAGTTAAGGTAATTGAGTTATCAAATAAACCTAGATAGAAAGATTTAGGACAATTTTTTAGGTCGTAGATTAAAAATCTATTTTTTATCTTTGTAATTCCTTTTATTATTTGTTTCATTAAATATTATTATTTATTATATTTAGTACCCCTGTATTTTATTGAATTGTTAAAAAAAAAAAAAATATTAGAAAAAAAATCCCTACAATAATGTATTCTTTTAGCACATAGCCCCCTAAGTAGCATGTTTTCAGGAGGTTTGCTAATAACATTGTATCATATAGGTTATTTTGCTACTGTGTATAACACGAAGAGTTTTATGACGCTTAGAGTAAACACATCGGTGCTAGATGCAAGAAAATCTAAAACGGTATTTTGTCCTTTAATAAGAATCAGCATTGCACACTGATCCGGAATGGAATTGGGCCCAACAAGCAGGGCCTCATTCAGCCCATCTAGGAAAAATACACCCTGGGCCCTTTGAGGCAAGATCACCGAAGAAAGGCCCGAGTGGAGAAAGCCCAAAGATCCGGCCTCTCTTCGCAAGAACCTAGTCAGTAGGAGGATTAACACCCGAGAGGTCTGAGTGGGCTACTCGCTTGTGTGAGGGGGCGGAAGGGCCCCACCGTGGACATAAGCGGCGACAGACGTTGAGGGCCGCATTAATGGAAGACTGACAATCATTCTTTATGCCCCTCATCGGCGCATTAAATGCTCTGACACCAGCATTTAATGGTCGAATGCCCAGAGACCGCCGCGAACAGGAAGGCGTACGGGTCAGGCTACTCCTGGTAATCCTGTAGAGAAAAGTCGTAGTTGTCCCGAAGGTAATGATGAGGATTTACGCAGAGCTTATGTTAAGGTATTATAAATACATGTTCACACACTTCCACTTCGAGGTTCCATCTATATATCCCTTCTTAATTCAATATAACGCATCCATTATTAAAACCACCTTCAATTCGCTGACTTGACTGTCTAAGTGCTAAATCCGGCGTCAGTGCGGCTCTCTTCTATTGCAGAGTAAACGGACCAAGTTGCTCGTCAAGCCCCTCATTCACACTCAAGCTCAAAGGAGCCAAGGCGGTTTTTAGGGCGAATCACACACTATGCATTTATTTGTACATTGCACAGTTTAGTATTATATCCATAAACGATCGAGATGACGTGTCGACGTTACATATCACGCATAAGATTAATTCATTAGTTCTCATTGAATATTAAAATAATTTGTCTATAATTTAGATGAAGTTAGGCAAATCATTGGAATAACAATTGTACTAGGGATGGCAATTTGCCCAGCCCCGATGGATCCCAGCCCCGCACGGACAGAAAATTTTTCGGTATGACCGCCCTGAAAATATATGGGGGTGGGATGGGGATTGACAAAAATATTTGACCGAGTAAGGGGAAGGGGACGGGTTTGTATGCACCCGCCCATATTATTTTTATATATTTAATAATTATTATATTAAACTATGATGCATATTTTTAACTTTGCACTTTGTTGGTTTGTTTGTTGAAATAAGTCTGTAAGTTATAAGTAGACCGTTTTTCTTTGTAAATGGTGATTTTGCGGAGCGGATACCTGTGGGGATTTTACGGATTCATAAAATTCTGAATTTTTGAAGGGGATTGCAAAACCCGCCCCATTGTCACCCCTAATTATAGCACTATATTTTAAATAATTTATTTTGATCATACACATTTAATTAATGTAATCTGCTTTAATGATCTAATAGGAGATATTTTGGATGAGTCAAGAGGATCGGCGACCTGTGTAGTTTCATTGACCATGTGGTGGAAAATAATTATTGATATGAATCAACATCTTTGAAATACATAATTAGTAATTAATTCATAAATAATTAGACAAGTTTTTACAATTTTTTCTTAGATTAGTACCACAAATTTTTTTTTTTTAATAGCAAAGTACTAAAATATCCCTCATCAAACAAAATACAATTTATACAAAAAAAATATTTTTTTTCCTCATTTCAATACCAAGAATTAAAAAAATTTAAAAATTCTCTTCTTCTTCCCAAACACAAACCCAACCCTCTCTTCTTCTTCATCTTCTTACAAACCCTCCGAAAAATCTCAAAATTCAAAAAAATCAAAACCTCACAAAATTTGTAAAATGGAGTCACAAGACAATAAAATGGTGGTTTACATGAAAGGAGAACCCATTAAAGTATTCTTTTTCTTTTTTTTAAGTTAGGCTACAATTTTCGACACATAAAGGTCGAATTTTTGGCCAATTTTCGATTCCAACTTGTCGAAAATTGTATTAAAAAAAACCAATTTCGACACATAATATATATATATATATATAGTAGGCCTCGTTTGGTTGTCAAGATAAGATTAAATAATTTAATGAAAACCCAATTATTTTATCAGACATCACGACATCCATCAAAAAATACTCACTAAAAGGCAAGATAAACCATGATAACATAATTTTGGCGGGTCGACCACATAATTTATTGTGAATAACAAACATCAAAGAAAGTCCTATTATTTAGTTAATCATGACTAATCTCCACATAAACGAGGCCTTATTAGATTTTTTTAAATACATCTCAAATAACCCAAAAAATAAATAATTTAGCACACGAATGGAGTAAATTATAAAAGAAAATATTGTTCCTAAATACCAAACAATATATAATTTTGGCTATCAATCTTGAATATTCGCTGGGATCAGCATCTTATACGCCGTCGTTTTGTTCTTGGCGCAATAAGGTTTTTGTCTGTATCAACACTTTCAGCATACTTGAAGATTCTATATATTATTATTCCCCCGCAGAAGAGACAGAAAATTATTAAAAAAAAAATAATAATAATAAAGGAAAGTGAAAATCATACAATCCTTTAGATGCTTCTGTGATTCCATGGAGCGATGAAGATGCTTGTTGACTTTGCAATCAACCCATTATTATTAGCATATGATCATCCAATCGCCGCCATTGAGCTCCACCTGTTCGACAAAATGCCGACTCCAATATTATATTGCTTTCGTTTACAGTATGTATTGGTCGAGAGCGAGTTTTGTCTTTAACCCGCTTCAACTCAAGAGAATCTTCTGTCTGGTATCATTCATGCAGCATATATATATATGTGTGCATTCAACCCATTATTTTTATTTTTTACATCAAGTCCTAAATTAATCTGAAAAAAGAAAATGGAAATGACAACAGGTTTGCATGCGGCATTCGTTGCAGTGGTGGTTTCATTCGCGGGGTGGCTGTTGTGGTGGTGGAATGAGTTGTGGTATGCTGTGCCGCATAATCGCCGCCAAACTGATGGTGGAGCAAAGCTCCCTCCGGGGTATATGGGATTGCCGTTTTTCGGAGAGATGATGACTTTTCTTTGGTACTTCAAGATTCTTCGCCGCCCTGATGACTACATCAACTCCAAACGTCGCAAGTACGAGTTATATTCGTTCTCGTTATAGTACTTATTTTATTCCATAAATTTGTAACGTTGATCAGTTTTTACAAGTCTTGAATTATCCAAAAGTTAAATTGTATTACATAGAATAAATTAAATATTATTATTTCTTTCGTTTTTCGTGGTTAATTAATCAGGTATGGGGATGGAGTAGGACTGTATCGAACGCACCTCTTCGGTTCACCGGCAATCATAGCTTGCACACCATCGGCCAACAAATTCGTGTTGCAAACAGAATCGAGCTTTCTGTTAGTGTGGCCTTCGTTGGAAATTGTGGGGGCCACATCTCTCGTAGCAGTTGAAGGTGCTTCACATACAAGGGTTCGAAACTTTGTCGTAAGAGCCATCAATCAACCCGATTCTCTACGTAAGATCGCTCTTATGGTGCAGCCTCGTGTAATCGCCGCCCTCGATTTATGGTCTCAAAAGGGTCGAGTCACAGTCTTCAACGAAGCCAAGAAGGTAATATAACAACAACAATAATAATAACAATGGCCCGTCTCAAGAATTATGTATTTTGAGATGATATTCGATAATTTTATCAGGTCACATTTGAAAATATCGGCAAGTATTTTGCTAGCTTTGAGCCGGGCCCCGTTTTGGATACCCTCGACGAGTTATTTAAAGGCCTACTCGACGGATTTAGAGCTTATCCACTCAATTTTCCCGGAACTACTATGCACCGTGCCCTCCAGGTCACTAAGTTCATAAATTAGCAAAATTATATTATTTTTTCGATAAATTACTTAGTGATGGAAATGTGCTGTGCGAATAATCGACAGTGTCGAGAGAAAGCAATGGCGATATTTAGAGAAGAATTGGAGAAGAGGAAGAAATTCGGTGTCGGAAAAGATAAATTCGATTTAATGGAAGGGCTGATGGAAGTGAAGGACGAAGAGGGTAAACAATTGTCCGATATCGAAGTGCTCGATAATATAGTCAGCCTTATTGTTGCGGGATATGTTTCCACTTCTCTTGCTATTATGTGGGCTTTCTATTATCTCGCTAAGTTTCCACACGTTCTCGACAAACTTCGGGTATATATTACGAAAATTTAAAATTAAAAAATTATATTGTGTTTCTTATTTTTTTAGTTAACACCACTAAAATTGCAGGAAGAGCATATGCCGATAGCCAAGAAACGAAACGGAGACTTGATCACGTACGAAGATATTGCGTCGTGCAAATATACGAGTAGGGTATGTACAAATGTACGATCGGAACCTCGTTTTGCATTTTCTCGAATTCGTCACACCAGAGTTTTTATTTTATTTAGGTGGTGGAGGAAATTATTCGACTGGCGAATATCGCGGCGTTTTTTTTCAGGACAGCAAATAAAGACGTCGAGTACAAAGGTACGTAGAACATCTTCAACGAAAAATAGTATTATCATAATTCATAAAATTCCGAGGGTATAAAATGTTCATTTTTTCGAACAGGGTATAAAATTCCCAAAGGATGGAAGGTTATATGCTGGGTTCGATACCTTCACACGAATCCCGATAATTTTGAGGATCCCATGTGCTTTAATCCAGATAGATGGAATGTAAGAATATATATGTATATATGAATAATATTTTCATCATTGTTACTTATATATAGATATACTATTAAACCTCTATAAATTAATACAGTCGGAACAAGCAAAATTCTGTTAATTCAGCGAAATATTAAATTAACGAACTAATAATTAATTAATAGGTTTTTACCGAGTCGGGATCAGAAGAATCTATTATTTAAGCGATGTTATTAATTTATCGAGGTTCTGCTATAAAATAAATATTGTAGGAAGCAGCAAAGCCAGGATCATATTTAGTGTTTGGAGGAGGATCAAGAATATGTGCTGGGAATATGCTTGCTCGTTTACAAGTCTCTGTTTTCCTTCATCATTTGGCTGTAGGATATAGGTAAATAATAAATACTTTATTTCCTTATTTATATTTTTTTTTTTTTTTTTTTTTAGTTATTAACAATCATTTGTGACATGATTCGAAAAAAAAAAAAAAAAAAAAATCAGATGGGAATTGGTGAATCGTGACGCGGGAATGACGTATCTTTCACATCCGAAACCAAACGACGGCGTTGAGATTGATATTAGCAAAATTTAACGGGCGAAAAAAATATTGTTGTTTTGGCTTTTACTATTGTTGCTTTGGTAAAAATTACATTTTTAGAGGTATATTTCATGGAATAAAAAAAAATATGTTAAAAGTAATTCCGTAGGGGGCCGGGATTGCATAAGAATTAAGACGACAACATATCTCAGAAGAATTTTCGTTATTACTCAAATATGAGGGGAATTTTCGTGATTAGACTTTATCTCTACTTTAATCTTGTTGAATAGTTATCTTGCACTAAATCAATTTTCTTTTAGTTGCTTTCATGGTGGATCGTTGTACTTTTGTTGTGATTTTGAATAAAATAAATATATATGAAGAATCATATTCTTATTGTCAAATGGATTATCCTAATTAGTTTTCATTCTTTTATTGTACTTGTTAGTGCTTCAATCTAAGGGTGGAGTTTTTTTTTTACCAAATAACGATTATTACAGCATACTTACCACGAATTATTGAATAAATACTGAACTATCAGCTAGACAGCTACCATTATATTTGCTATTGAATTGGTACCGGACCAATATGTTATGGTATGGTAGCGGTATTTTATTTTTAGTACCTTGATAATGTTGTACCGTACTGCAATTTTTGTATTTAAAAAATAGCTAATATACATTTCCTTTAATAATTTTAAATAATAATAAAAAATATAGACAACATATATTATATATATAAAAAAAACAATAATCATAATATATATATATACTTCTATTCTCTTCATATATTGATGCAAACTCACTGTTTGTCTCTCGCGAAAGCTGTTTATGTTCACGTATTAGTTTAGTTCCAAAATCCAAGATCTCTTATTGTTGGAATATTCTTTGCAATAAATTCATACCGATTTATAATTAGGGTTCTATGTAAATTCTCAAATTCTATTGCGAAACAATTTAAACCGCATATAATCGATATAAGGTGTTACGGTTCATGCACATTTCTATGAAAATTCTCATTTTTTTTGGAGAAACAATTTAAATCAAAAAATAATCCATATAAGGTGTTAAGGTCCATACGCATTTATAATTAGGGTTCTAAGTAAACTCTCAATTTCTTCTGAGAAACAATTTAAATCGAAATCTAATCCATAGATGGTGTTAGGGTTCATACATATTTGTAAATATAAGAATTAAAAATAGGTAATAACAATTATTTTAGGGATAATTAGCAAAAACCCCCTCATCTAGGAAAATGAGTTAAGGAAACACCCCCTCCCATAAATAATTAGAGAAAACCTCCTTAACTAATATTCTATCCATGTGATATTTTCATAATTCCAAAACTACCCTTAATTGTCTATTATACTCTTTCAAAATCCTAATCTTATTTTTATTCTTTCATCCGCCGTTTTCATGGTCCATCGTTTCTCTTCTTCTCTCTTTTCTCTTCTTCTCTGTTTTTCTCTTCTTCTTTGTTTTTTTCTCCCTCTGTTTCTCCGACAATCTTCCGCCACTGCCGCCGCCGTCGCCGGAAGATGGAGAAAGAAAGAAGAGGAAGCACCCATCAAACATTATAAATGATTTTGATAGCTATTCTGAATTCGAATGCCAGGATTGCTACATCGGAGGCTAATAGAGATAAGATTGTCGATTTATCGCCGGAATCGAATTTTGATGGGTGGTGGTTCTGCTTTGGTTGGTGGTGCGAGTTGTGATTTTATTTATTTATTTGTAATAAAAAACCGTCATAATGTCAAAGTAAGGTGGTGATGGTGTGTTGTGGCGGCGGTGTGGTGACGATGGGGAGGCAAATTTTAGGGTTTTTTGGTGGATCGGGCGCAGGACGGCGCCTCTAGAGAATTTCGCGTAGGCTGAAACCTTAATCGACTATGTACATGTTCATAGTCGATTAAGCTAATCGACTATGCTCTGGCAGTCGATTAAGGTTGATCCACTCCATTTATTTATTTATTTTTTTGGGATTATTTGAGAAAACCCCCTCATATGCATTGTATCATTAGACTACATCCTCTTTTTTTTCCCATTTTTGAGATAAATCCAATTGTATTTTATTCAGCATATTATATTATTAATAACCTATTTTACCCTTTCTTAACTTTTTTTGAACCTACCCACGTCTCTTCTCTAGCCGTCTCTCTCATTCTCTTCTCTCCCTTCTCTCCACAACTCACAACTCACGCTCACCCCCTCGCCTCCCTTACCAGTCCCCAAAACGGGGCAAGACGTATGGGCTCTTCCTCCCAAACCCTCTAATTTGATGTTTTCTCTTATCTCTCATATATTCTCCCCCTCACAAACGCTACCGAGCCTCATGGCCGGAGTCAGATCTGCGGCGACGGCATGTCCGGTGCCGATAGATATGCATGGTCCACGTAGGAAAGGAGAAGAGATCCGATATGCATTGATCATATCTTGAATTTGGCAGCCCCTCATTCCTTTCAATCGTCGCCGCCATTGACGGTGGATATGGTCAGCACAACCGCCTCAAGAGGTGTTTGGATTCTATTATTTCGCCAACCCAGTCCGCTTTTGTTCCTACGCGCCTTATCACAGACAATGTTTTAGTGGCTTTTGAAATCAATCACTTTATTAAGACTAATTCTAGCAAACGTACCAATTACATGGCTATAAAACTTGATATTAGTAAAGCTTACGATCGGGTCGAATGGCTCTTTTTGAGGAAAATTCTTACCCGTTTCGGTTTCTTATCTCCCTTTGTGGATCTTATCATGCTTTGCGTTTCGTCCGTTTCTTACTCGTTTCTATTTAATGGATCGCAGTTTGGAGGCTTATCACCCTCTAGGGGTCTCCGGCAGGGAGATCCTCTCTCTCCATATTTATTTCTATTTTGTGCAGAGATACTTATTATGATGATTCAGCAGGCGGTGGACAGAGGTGAATTACACGGTGTCCAAATTGCTCCTACGGCGCCGGTCATCTCTAACCTTTGCTTCGCAGATGACACATTACTGTTTTGCCATGCTATCGAAGGTGATGCAGCCTGCTTGAAAAATATTCTTAGTCAGTACGCAAAGGTTTCGGGGCAGGAGACAAACTTTGAGAAGACTACTATGAGCTTTAGTCCGAATACTCCTGGAACTCTAAAGACAACTATTCATGAGCGGCTAGGCTTTCAAATTGTCGACCGCCACGACAAGTATCTTGGGTTGCCAGCTTCCATTGGTAAGTCTAAGAAGGAAATTTTTTCCTACCTCCGAGACAGATTGTGGGCCAAGATGAAAGGATGGGGCGAAAAACACTTATCACAAACGGGGAAAGAGGTTATGGTCAAATCGGTACTCCAAGCTATACCAACTTATATGATGAGCTGTTTTGCATTGCCGCACGGCCTATTGAATGAGTTGGAATCGACCATTAGGAGGTTTTGGTGGGGAAAAGGAACCGGAAACGGATTGGCATGGTTATCCTGGAGGAAGCTTTGCATGCCAAAATCTAAAGGGGGAGTGGGGTTTCGGGATTTACGAACTTTCAATTTAGCACTATTGGCCAAGCAACTGTGGCGGATACTCACGTCACCTGACCTTCTCATTTCAAAAATATTAAAAGCTCGTTATTTTCCGAATAACGAGTTGCTGGGAGCGGCATACGGATCGAGGTCGTTAGCCACTTGGCGCAGCTTACTCAAGGTCCGACCTCAACTCATCCAGGGGTTACGTCGGCGCATTGGAAACGGAAGTGATACATCAATTTGGGCGGATCCGTGGTTAAGAGACAATGGAAATAGGAAAATCATTACACGACGACCAATTTATTCTCCGTTCCCGAATAAAGTGTCTGATCTGATTAATTCAGACACCAACTCTTGGAACCATGATGTTATCGCGGCAACCTTTTGGCCAGTCGACCATCCACGTATTTTATCGGTGCCGATAGGCAGCTGTTACACGAAGGATCGTTGGGTCTGGCACGCATCCCGAGATGGTAAGTTCTCCGTCCGGACTTGTTATTATAATATTGTCATGCGTGCGTCTATTTTGAATAGTGGCCCCGACGGTGGAGGGATCTCTAACAATGGGGACTACTCTCGGAATTGGAAATATTTATGGGCGTTACATATTCCACCCAAGATTCGAATATTTCTATGGCGAGCTTGCTCGGACATTTTGCCTACGGGGTCAAATCTGTTCCGACGCAAAATCCGTAGTTCTCCGGCGTGCGCTCGATGCGGTCACCATTTGGAAACCATAACCCACGCCATACAGGACTGTGATGGAATCAGTGAAGTGTGGAAGACCATGCCGTTCAATATTACACCAACAAAGCCATGCACTACGATGTGGCAGTGGCTCGACAGTTTGAGAGGTATGTTCGCGGAAGATGTGCTCAATCTATCCATTATTGTAGCATGGAAGGCGTGGGACAATCGTAATAAGGCAGAGCATGGAGAGGAAACGATGCACCGAAACGAGATTCTTGGATGGAGCCGGAGGTTTCTTGACACTTATACACAGGCCCAAATCTTGGCCAACCCGGGTGTGAAGCAGGTGCATGCACAGAGTTGGAATCCCCCTCCGGAGGGAGTGCTCAAGCTCAACTTCGACGCGGCTTTGCCGAACGAGAAGGACTTCTATTCGGTGGCGATAGTTGCACGGGATTCGCGTGGGGTATGCATTTGGTGGGCGGTCCACAAGTTCAAAGGCAGGCCGACTGTCGAGGATTGCGAGGCTCATGCGGCTTTGACAGCTATCAATCAAGCACGACATCACGGATGGCACTCGATCATTTTAGAAGGTGACTGCTTACAAGTTATCAAGGTTCTTAAAGCGAGAGAGTCTTCTCTCTCGTCGTTTGGAGTTTTCGTTGAAGACATTTTACGCATTTCTAGTTCTTTATTATTATGCGATTTTTCTTTTGTTAAACGCAGCGGTAATATGTTGGCCCATGCGCTAGCTACCGGATTTAGTGAATATTGTAATGAGGGTTCTTCTTTACCCCTTGAACTGACGCATTTAGTCTAATACATCGTCATATTATCCTCAAAAAAAAAATCTCGAATATAAAATATAAAATACAAGGGCTGTTATTTAATTACTTTCGGATCTTACCAACCATTTTAGATGATGATGTCGTGTAGAGTCTGATTATGTTTGTATTATCATTTTTAATGAATTATATATACATATATATGCTTAATTTCACTTTACACCCCTGAATTATAGTATTTTAACCCTTTGCACCCTCGTAAAATTAGATTAGCTTTTTTTTTTGTATAAAGTTGGGTAAATAGCACTTAACCCCCTTGTGGTTTAGACATTTTGCACATGACCCCCTTATGGTATGAATTTAGGCACATAACCCCCTTGTGGTTTTGACATTTTGCACATGACCACCTTATGGTATGAAATTAGGCACATAACCCCCTTGGGGTTTTGAAATTTTGCACATGACCCCCTTATAGTATGAAATTAGCACATAACCCCCTTGAATAGAAAACTGGAAAATACTAAATTACCACTATAAAGTAAAAAATTCTTGTTATAATTTAAAAATAATTATTCTATAAAATGAAAAGTTTAATGTACTTTTTTGCAAAATGAGAAATATTATATATTATTGTGTTTTTTTAATTTTACAGCACAAAAGGTTTAAAATACTAGTTATTGTACGATTGACAATTTATTCGATTTTAAAAATTAATTTGAAAATCTTTAACATTATCATTAATTATGATTATTATTACTATTTTCTATATAATATATTATATTATAGTTGTTATGAAACTTTAATTTTTTTAAGAAACAAAGTCTTTATTTTTGTATTCTTTTGGAAAAATCTAAAAAAACATTTCTCTAAAGTTGAAATGAAAATTAAATTAAAAAAAAGTATATCTGCGGTAAAATAGAAAAAAACACTATAATATATTATATTTCTCATTTTACAAAAAAATACATTAAACGTTTCATTTTATAGAATAAATATTTTTAAATTAAAACAAGAACTTTTGACTTGATAGGGGTAATCTAGTCTTTTCCAATTTTCTATTTAAGGGGGTTATATACTAATTTTCATACCATAAGGGGGTCATGTGCAAAAATTACAAGGGGTTATGTGCCTAATTTCATTCATAAGGGGGTCATGTGCAAAATGTTAAAACCAAAAGGGGGTCATGTGCCTAAATTCATACCATAAGGGGGTCATGTGCAAAATAGCCAAATCACAAGGGGTTAAGTGCTATTTACCCTATAAAGTTTCGTAATTGTCCCTTCATTTAAAACATAAATTATTCTAACATACTAATCTCCATAATAAATTCAGGACGAACTTTTTAGCGCGCGTGAAAAATAAATGCTAATTCGTGGTCCAATATCTTCAAATATTTTCTTTTGCTGCAACAATTCAGACATGGGGCAGTGCAAACATTGGACTTTTGTTCAATCACAAACACCCTCACGCGCCACCTCACCATCTAACCAAAACAACTCCTACATCCATCCATGCCACGTGGATGATCAAGAGATTGTCAACCACACGCGCTCTCTGGTGAGAGTGTTCATTGATAAACTTGTTTTGAACACCATTGGGACAACGGCTAATAATGTATCATCTCATCGCACAGATATCTATGCAGTTTCAAAGTTGAAGCTTACTCTCCACTTCACCAACTTAATGCAGGCGAAAAAAAAGAGGTCAAAAATGAAAAACAAAAATAATTATGTTTTCTTAGTAATAATTATGGAATGGGTAAACTCCACTTTACCCCCTCGTACTCTGCCTGAGAGTCACTTTACCCCCTCGTACTCTCAATTTTATCGATTTACCCCCTTGTACTTGTACAATTTCCCAATACAGCCCTTTTCTTCAATTTTTGTCAATTTTGACTCTAACGCCATTTGGCCAACTCTGTAAATTACAAAATTGCCACTGCCTATAACGCGTCGTTTCTCCTCCGTCAATATTGTCATTTCTTCTTCTCCCACCAGTTCCCCTTCCAAGATATCCCCAAATTGAACCCCTAACTTAGTAAAAATCAAGACCCAAAAATTGATCGATTCCACCCAGTGCAAAGAAAAAAATATATGAATGTGTGAAACTTTCTCTTTTCTAATCTCGATAGTCAAAATCGAAAAAATTCAATATTTACGTCAATATTTTGACTCTTGACCAAATGGCGTCAGAGTCAAAATCGAAAAAAGTTGATGAAGAGGGTTGTATTGGGAAATTGTACAAGTACAAGGGGGTAAATTGACGAAATTAAGAGTACGAGGGGGTAAAGTGGTTCTTGGGCAGAGTACAAGGGGGTAAAGTGGAATTTACCCTTATGGAATTTTTGAAGTAAGCACATTTGGAATTAGGATAAATTAGTATACTCTAATCTGATGTTAAATTACGAAAAAAAAATAACATTTATGTTTGGCCAAACAGTTTGGGTAATTACAACTGCCCCTCAACTATGATTATTTCTTACATGTCCACTATTATGGTGTAAAATTCAATAGAATCTTCTAGATTCAGTAGAATATTTTGTACTCGTTTTTTGCAAAAACACAGTTTCTGATGCACCGCAATCTGATATTTACAAGCCAAGAGATGCATTTTATGATCATCTCGTCTCAAAATGTGGAGCTCGAATGAGGTAATTACCAAAATATGAGTGATTTTTTTCCGTAATTTAACTTTATCTAGTTTACCCAAAAAAAAAAAAAAAAAAAAGAAAGTGAAAAATGAAAAAGAAAAATAATTATGCGTTTAGTAATAATTATGGAATTTTTGAAGTAAGCACATTTGAAATTATAGCACTACCCACTCCCCATAGATAACCCCACAATCTTTTTCCAAGTTTTGAACTTTATTTATCATAAAATCATTTTATTTTTCCCTCTTTTTCACTTTTCATTTTGAAATCATTCTAAGTAAGAAATCCAAGAAAAAGAAAAGAAAAAAAAGATAACCCTTTTAGCAGAGAGAAGAACACATTTGAAAATCAAGAACTGAAAATGGGTGCTCTAGTTTTGGTGTTCTTGGCAGTTTTGGCAACAACCGTTTTGCAGGAATGCTCTCTTGCCCTCACCCCAGATGGTATGTATTGTATTTATTTCACATTTACAAATAAATAAATAAAAATAAAAAAATAAAAAATAAAAATTCAATCTTTAAGCTTCTGTATATCATTTAAGATGAAGAAATGTTGGTGTTTTCTTTGGGTTCTTGGCTTATGTGTCACATCTACAACATAAAGTTTCAATCTTTAAGCTTATTTAGTTATGTATATCATTTTAGATATTGTAATTTTGGTGTTTGATATTTGGTTTTATTTATTATTTAATTTCTTTTTTTGGGTTCTTGGCTTTAGGTGTCACATCTACTAGAAAAAGTTTCAATTTTTAAGCTTATGAAGTTATGTATATCATTTTAGATATTGTAATTTTGGTGTTTGATATTTGTTTTTTATTTTTTTATTTAATTTTATTTGGGGTTCTTTGGCTTAGGTGTGACATTGTTGGAAGTGAAAAGCAGTTTGAATGACAGTAAAAACTATCTGAGTAACTGGAAAGACAGTGATGAATCTCCATGTAAGTGGACTGGCATTTCTTGCAGCCCACAAGACCAAAGAGTTATTTCTATGTACGTTTTTTTTTTCCTCGATTTTTTGCTCTTTTTTTTATTTAATTTTTTAATTTTAATTTTACTTTTTTCGCCTGCAGAAACTTACCTTATATGCAACTTGGAGGAACTATACCTCCCAGCATTTGTAAGCTCAATAGACTACAAAGACTGTAAGTTTTCCGTTTACGTTTTAGTGTCGATTCTCTAAAGTTCGACAATGCCTCGTTTATTTTGTCGAAAAGTTTTCTACATTTGTGAAATGAAATTCAGGGCACTTCACCAAAACAGTCTACACGGTTTGATTCCCATCGACATTGCCCAATGTTCGGATCTCAGAGCACTGTAAGTATTTTTTATTACATCATAGTCCTTTTCTCGTATTTTCTTGACATGCAATCCCGCATGAAGTAATTCGCATTCGTAAAATCGTATGTATAGGTATCTTCGATCTAATTATTTTCAAGGAGGGATACCCTCGACTATTGGGAACCTTTCTATGCTGACCATTCTGTAAGATTCAGACACGATTTCGTCTTCTTGTAATACAAAACACATGTCAATTTTTATCTGTTTTGTTTGAGTAACGGATGTTCGTAATTGTCGTGTAGCGATTTATCGAGCAATACGCTTAGAGGTGCCATACCTTCTTCTCTAGGCCGTTTAAAACATCTAGCGTATCTGTAAGTCGAACGATTTTTTTTGAATTAGTTGTGGTTAATTAATCGATATATGAAGTTAGTCGATGCAATTCTTTCTTTCCAGAAACTTGTCTACAAATTTCTTGTCCGGTGAAATCCCGGATGTCGGAGCGCTAAGCAAGTTTCGAGACAACTCGTAAGTTCCTCTGTCTTAAGACAAATTAATGTAACACTTTGTAATAAGCAATTTCGTTTATTTGTTATTTTCTTTATTTATTCTAAATGTTCGATCATTCGGAGACGTATTCTGAAGTTGTATGCTTATGCCTAGGTTTATTGGTAATTTAGATCTTTGTGGTCAACAAGTGAACAAGCCATGCCGAACTTCACTCGGATTCCCCGCTGTATTACCCCACGCCGAAAGTGACGAAGCAACAGGTAGTAAACTTGTGAAAATTTGCAAATGCAGTCCTCGATCTTCTATTAAATTGCGTATTTGACGCATACATATGTAATAACTTCTGAATTTTCTAGGTTCATCCACAGTTCGTACCCGATCCTCCCACTACATCAAAGGAATATTAATCGGTGCAGTGTCGATGTTCGCGTTTGCCATTATTATGCTTCTCGGCTTTTCCTCGATTTGGTTTCTGTCGAAAAAAGAAAGGGCTGCTAAGAAATACACCGAAGTCAAGAAACAAGTTCATCAAGAACCAAGTAAACTCCTTATATATATATATATATATATATATATATATATATATATATATATATATATATATATATATATATATATATATATATATATATATATATATATATATATATATATATATATATATATATATATATATATATATATATATAATCGTAATCCCTTTTTCGTAATTTTTATTATTATGTAATGTTTTTTTTTTTTTCTTTAGGAGCCAAGCTTATAACTTTCCACGGCGATCTTCCGTACCCTTCGTGCGAGCTCGTTGAAAAAATCGAGTCACTTGATGAAGAAGATATAGTTGGAGCGGGTGGATTCGGCACTGTATATAGAATGGTAATGAACGATTGCGGAACTTTTGCGGTCAAGAAGATTGACCGGTCAAGGGAAGGTTCCGATCAAGTTTTCGAGAGAGAGCTCGAAATCTTGGGAAGTGTCAAACATATAAACCTAGTCAACCTACGAGGCTACTGTCGACTTCCTACGGCAAAGCTTCTTATTTACGATTACTTAGCTATGGGAAGCTTGGATTATTTCTTGCATGGTAAAAAAAAAAAAAATTAATATTATTATAAAATTATCGTGTAATATATGTTTTAGTGTTAATTGCGTTTAGCACCACTGATTTTACTCTAATTATAAATATTAGCAAACTACCGTTTGAGGGTTTACGCGATAAAAAAATTGCATCATAGAGGTTTTTGTAGTAATTCGATATATCACAGGGGTTCTGAATGCAATAAACTCGTATATTTTATATCATTTTTGCTGATGTTTTTTATTTATTATTCAGATAGTTTGTCGGAAGATCGAGTACTGAACTGGAATGCTCGTTTAAGAATAGCTATCGGCTCCGCTAGGGGATTGGCATATCTACACCACGATTGCTCTCCGAAAATAATTCATCGAGATATAAAATCGAGCAATATTCTACTCGACGAGAATTTGGAGCCTCATGTTTCGGATTTTGGTCTTGCAAAATTATTGGTCGACGAGGATTCTCATGTTACGACTGTTGTCGCCGGCACTTTCGGCTATCTTGCTCCAGGTTCGTTTCTTTTTTGCATGTCCGAATTTTGAGCTTATTATATATATATATATATATTTGATTTTGATTTCCAAATGAGTGTATTTGTTCATATACATTGCTCACCCTTCCAAAATTCAAAATTAGTCCATTTAAGAGTGTTTATTGCATTTAGTACCCCTATGTTATATCTAATTGCTGAAAAACTCCTCACGTCATTTTATTGGCAAAAACCCACTTATAAAGCATTTATTTTAGCACACAACTCCCTAAACGGTGAGTTTGCTGAAAAAAAAATTGTACGGTTGGGGGCGTTTTTGCCAATAAAATAGCATGTAGTGTTTTTTCAACAATTAGAGAAAACAAAAGGGTGCCGAATGCAATAAAAAATTATATAAATCTTTGCCATTTTAATAGCTAGATTATTATTTGTTTTATTTATTTATTTTCGCAGAGTATTTGCAAAGCGGTAGAGCTACCGAGAAATCCGATGTGTACAGTTTCGGAGTGCTACTCTTAGAACTTGTAACCGGAAAACGGCCCACCGATCCATCTTTCGTCAAGAGGGGATTAAATGTCGTCGGATGGGTATTTTAAATCTTCGAAATAATCTACATTATATAATCATGATTAATTAATTAATTAAATTTTGACATTTTCGAACAATTTTATTTTTGAATATTTAATTAGATGAACACGCTTTTGAGGGAGAATAGGCTCGAGGACGTGGTGGATAAAAGATGCTGCAACGATGCTGATGTGGAGACCGTAGAAGTAATTGTAGAAATTGCGGGGAGATGCACTGAAGCGAACCCGGAGGAACGGCCTTCGATGCAGCAGGTTTTGCAGTTCTTGGAGCAAGAAGCGATGTCACCTTGCCTCAGCGAGTTCTACGAGTCTCATTCAGATAAATGCTGATGTATATATATATTCGTTTAATGAGTCGAGTCGACTCGACTCGACTCGCGGAGTCGACTCGACTCACGGATGTTTTATTATGATTCTCCTATGTTTTGGGACTGTAAATTATTATTGCTTTCACATCAGTGTGAATGTGTTCATTTTTATGGATGATGAATTTTGCCTTTGTAACGCACAAATTGATGTAGGGGTGTGTATTAACTAAATTTGAAATGTTTGGGGAGGGGTTGTTAAATGATTAAAAGTTCAGGGGGGTGGAAGCAAATCGATCATCAGTTGTGTACTTGTGTTTGCTCTCAAAACAGAGTCATGGGGAAAAACATACATTTTTAAATATTTAAGTAAACCATGAAATATTTTCTTGCAACTTTTTAAATGTAATATAAATTCAATATTCTATATTTCTGTATTTATTGATTGTGACTTTTTAGATTCTAGTATCTTTATTTATTTTTTATTTTAATTCTGAAAAGTATAAATAAATCATAAATTGTAACTAAGGCTCTGTTTGACAGAATTAAGCACTGAACACTGAATGCTGAATACATGACTGGATCATTAAGAGTGGTGTCTGAATACTGAATATTGAATGTTTAAACTTGTTTGATAACTGAAACAGTTATTGTATCTGAATAACGTAATTTTACTGTATTAACCCTCATAATTTTTGAACATAATGTAGTTTCAATAATATCTAAATGAAAAAAAAAATTATGTGCCTTTTAATTATTTATTATATTTATTTGTACGAAACTAAAAATTGCAAATCTAAATATTATTATTTTAACAAATACATAAAACAAAAAAGTCGAACATAATTTAAAACTTTTAGCAAAAAAATCATAAAAGAAAAGGAAGGGAACAAAAATTATATTCCACAATACCAATTGTGGAAGAATATTTCATTAAAGATTAATTTAATCAAACCAAATTTTATATTAATTATTTTCAGGACCCTTTGAAACATCTAGCATGTCTCCACGCTTTTATTTATCTCCCTCATCTCATAGGCATTTATTGTATTTTTAATTCCAAATAATATATTGTCAAGAAAAACAAAAGAGGGGTACATTTGTCTAAAATGTATTCAGATGTACATCTAACCGAATAAGTCATAAGTTTTAGACTGAATCAATAAGAGATATACGGCCTTGTTCAGAAATTCACACCAAACAAACTTAATGAAGTAATGCTGACCGAATCAGTGATAAATGCCCATTCAGATGCCATTAAGAGGTTATCAAACACACCCTAAGATTCTCTAAAATTTACAATCTGTTCAATGATTTAAATCGATAATTGAAAAACACTGTAATTTTATTGAATTAGATTATATTAAGTTTTCTAGATATATGAAGTCTTTGCATATCAGGTATTCTGGTTTCATTTTTTCCTCTCTTATGCGAAATATAAATATATTAAACGAAAGAATATATTCGGCAAGGGGATGTAGCTCAGATGGTAGAGCGCTCGCTTAGCATGCGAGAGGTACGGGGATCGATACCCCGCATCTCCATTTTTCAGCAAATTTCTTTAATATTTTTTTATTTTTGCACAAAAAAAAAAAAAAAAAAAAAGAAAAAAACTTTTAATAAAAACAGAAAAAAATAAATAAAAAATTCATGGGCTCATTACCCATTGTCGGAATATTTGGGCTTTTACATTTTATTCCATTATCGGCTTGCAAAATCAATTGGATAAGCAGACTTATTATTATTATTACTAATTTTTTGGCTCGTGCGATACACAAGATTGGAAAAAAAAATTAATACAAAGTAAAGTTCAATTTAAACGAAGTTGTAATTCATTTTGATGTTTTGATGTATGCATTGCTGATAATCACCCATCCATAATTTTTTTTTTGCCATATTTATTAAATTAATTTTATATTTTTGATGTAATATGATTGTTTATTTATCTTATCTCAGTTAATGTAGAAGTTTGACGAATTTTCTTATTTATCACCTATAACAGAATTTTCTTATTTATCACCTATAACAGGCCTCAGCAAATTTACTGTAAATCAACGATGCCATTAAATCTCAAGAGTTTATCATGAACAACTTTACTTTTACATTTGAAAATAATATTTAACTACGGGTCATTTAAAATTTTGATTAATATTTAATTGGTAGATTATAAGATATTAGGTTAGGCGGGAAAAATTACTATTAGGGTTTATTTAGGGTTTCTTCAGGAACCTTTGTTTTGTTAATAAGATAAGATAAGATTAGGTTAGGCGGGAAAATTACTATTAGGGTTTATTTAGGATTTCTCCGGAACCTTTCTTTTGTTAATAAGAAGATTATTTAAAAAGAAAAAACTTATTTTTCATATTTATTTTTTATTTAATAATCTTCAATAAACTCCTGTGAAAATTAACTATGGTTGCGTAGTATGACAGTAACTCTATATTGACATGACTTCTACGACAACAACAACTCCAAAAACCTACAACAACATAGTATTTCGTTTTAGGTTAATAACCATTAAAACATTTGCAACTAATTAATTTTCTTCTTCCCAACCCTAATAATTAAACAAAAAAAAAAAAAATGGGAGATTCATCATATAATAATACATTCTTCACTGTGTTGCTGATTCTTTCTTTACTACTACTATTCACAACAAACTCCGAATCGACGGTCTTCAACGTTCTTGATTACGGCGCAGTCGGAAATGGACTAACTGATGATACAAATGTATGTCAGATTCATTCATTAACTCTATATAGATATATATGTATTCGTATTCGATTTTTTTTTTAGGGTTTTACGACTATAGCGAACTCGTTTCTTGATTTGTTTTATGTGTTATATATAGGCATTTGCAAATGCATGGAAAGCTACGTGCGCATCTTCTTCGTCTTCGTCTCCGATGATGCATGTTCCTTCTGGCAAGACTTTTTTTGTCCAGCCATTGGAATTCGACGGTCCGTGCGAATCCGACACTATTATTGTTGAGGTTTTTTTTTTTTTTTTTTTTTTTTAATATCTGTCTGAAATTTTAGTTTATTTTTTTGGATTCAAATTAGACTCTTTTTTTTCTTATAATTTTTGGCAGATAGAAGGGAATTTTGTGGCGCCTAGTGATCCGTCGAGCTGGGATTGCGGAAAAAATGATTGCGAGAATTGGATTTCTTTCCGTAGAGTCGATGGTCTTAGGGTTAGTGGGCATGGCAGCTTCGATGGCCGTGGACAAAAATGGTGGGATGGAAAGGTATTTCATATATATAGTAGAACTTCGATAAATTAATAACCTCGATTAAATAATAGTTTCTCCCGATCCCGACTCGGTGAAAACGTGTTAAATTATTAACTCATAATTTAATTATTCGCTAAATTAATAGAATTTCCCTGATCCGACTGTATTAATTAATTATAGTGGTTTAACTGTGTGTGTGTGTGTATATATATATATATATATATTGTGTTATTTTGTGGTGATTGTGAGTTTCTAATACTAATTTGTTTTTGTTGTCTCTCTTTCGCAGCACGAAATGAGACCAAATGTAAGTCGTCTCGACTATCAACTGAAATCTTCCCGGTTTTATTTTTTTCCGTAAATTATTAGTAATGAGAATTATTAATTCTTCAAGAAAGGGAAAAACAAATGTACATTATTAATTTGATCCAACAATAATTAAATCCATTTTCTAAAATTGTGACAGACTCTGGAGATTGCAAGCTCGGACGATGTTCGATTAGGAGATGGTCTGAGATTTAAGGACAGTCCTAGGGTTCACCTTGTTCTTAACTCTTTACGAAACGCTTATGTGTCGCACGTATCTATAGAAGCTCCCGAAAGTAGCCCTAACACCGATGGCATTCGTGTTTCCAGCTGCACTAATGTTCATATTGACCATACTCGAATCGGGACTGGTATTTATTTATTAATTAATTAATTAATTTCTCGGATATTTGAGTAATTTTTAATTTAGATTTTATTGACATTAGGGGATGATTGCATTGCGATGATTGGCGGATCGTCTTATGTGACGATTAGCAACATAACATGTGGGCCCGGGCATGGTATAAGGTGTGTTTTTGTGCGTGAATGAATATTAATATCATATACATCGGGCGTAGCATTTCATAGACTTTTACTTGGTAATTATTATCATAAATTAAAATTATTTTTGCAAATTAATGTAATGATATTTTTTCTTAAATTTAAATAATTAATGAATGTAGCATTGGGAGTTTGGGGAAGAATGGAGGATATGATACAGCTGAACATGTTAGGGTTGGTGATGTTGTATTCATTGGAGCTACAAATGGTGCTAGAATCAAGACTTGGCAGGTAATATATATATATTAATATATATATATATATATATATATATGTATATATGCATGTCTTTTTTGTTGGCTATATATTTTTAATAAAAATTCTAGGGTCCTTCAAAATAAATGTAATTTGAAGTGAGATACAACCAAGACAATTTTTATAAAATAATCTAAAATATAATATCAACCATATTTCTATTTTTTTTTTATCTTAAGTTGCCCTTATATCCTAAATATAACCTCTGTATTTATGTTTCTTCCTCGAATCTATTTCTCTTCTTTGTTTTCTCTCTATATCTCTCGCTTGCTCTCTTTCCTCCTTTTCTGACGCCGACGACACCGCTACATCGAGTCAGAGAAGCGATGGCTAACGGGGATGGAAGTTATCGCGGCGACGGTGGTGGTCGCAAGTATATATGGCGTGCGAACTAGAGTGGCTATGTCGATTGCAACGGCTATGGTGGTGGGGGTTGCGGTTATAGGGGTGGTTATGACGATAGCAATTGAAGATTATGGTTTGAGGTCAAATCGATGGTAGGAGCGGTTGCATCAACCTAGAGTTCTTTCACGGCTAGGGTTTTGTGGATAGAGTTTGTTGGCGGTCAGGGTTTGGTGGACAACTAAGATTTGGTGGATAGAGTTTGACGGTGATTGGGAGTTGTTGGTTACTAGGGTTTGATGTCAGCTGGAGGAGTTGACTGCTATGATTTGGTGACGGCTGGGAGTTGGTGGTTATAATTGTTCGGAATAATACACCACAGTTAGGGCTGAGACTGTGTTGGTTTTTATCCACCAACCGATCCATTATCGACCATATTTTTAGGCGAATATATAATAATTTTTAACCGACCCATTGAATCGTGTCGGAAATTTCAACCAACCCATCTATAGTTTTTAATATTATCAAAAGTTAGGTTGACCGATAATTATCGGTCAACCAACTGTACTATCGTGGTCTTTTGACAATTGTGCATTGGACATCTTCTAATCCTTTTATGTTATTAACTTATTAGCTTTTATCTTGGTCTTTTGAGAATTGTGCATTGGACATCCTCTAATCCAATGATACAATTACACACTAATAAGATTGTAAATATATCTTATATTGGCTAATTTTATTAATGAACCAAATGAGGCCTTACTGAATTGATGAATTTGAATTAAATCACAACATTTTTTTTTTTAATTTAATTTATTTATTTTGAATCAGGGAGGCAAAGGCTACGTTAGAGACATTTTGTTCGAGAGATTGTTGTTCCACAACACGGGAAATCCGATCATCATCGATCAATTCTACTGCGATCACGCGCACTGCACAACAAGCGTTAGTTCTTGCTCTTATTTCTTATTGTTTTTCCGTTCTATTAAAAATAAATACTTCAAATTATTTATCACTTTTAGAATTATATTCCCACGGATCACTGATTGTATTTTTCTCAATTATGTCCTTATTATTCTTAATTTATTAAGAGATAATTAACGGTGAAACAATTAACGATAGATGGTATTTCCGTCACTTTATTAGATTTTTTTCTGGAATCCGTACACATTTATTCGTACAATCTTGATTAGAATGATTTAAAATGTACAATCTTGATTTTTTTTTATTATGTCCCCACAAAAAAAAAAAAAAAAAACGGAAATTAAATTCTTGATCGGGTCTTCGATTTTTTCTTGCAGGAATCGGCAATAGAGATCCGTAATGTGACATACCGACAAATACTAGGAACTTCGAGGAAGAAGAAGGTTGCAGTGAAATTGGATTGTAGTGAAACTGTTCCATGCAGAGATATTGTATTTGAAGATATACATATTATTGGAATTGATGGCAAAATTGCAGATTATGAATGCAGAAATGTATATGGAAGATCTCTTGGAGACAAGGTTCCTAGGTTATCTTGCTTGTACTAGATTTAATTAGGGCACAAATTAAATTACCTTTTTTTTTTTTTTTTTTTGGAGAAATTCAAATCTTGTTACATAGTCGATTTAAGTTGTTTAGGTGAATTTATTCTATGGTGGATTTTAGGTATATGTAACTCTCAAATCTTAACTGATTCGGATTTTGAGTTATTTTTGTTGATTTGGAATCCAATTTATTGATTTTTTAATTTTATTTATTGAAGTGATGCCCCTATATCCATTTCACAAATACATTTTCTTTAGTTGAAAATTAAATATGTGACTCCTTAAATTAAATTCTAATGCATAGTTGATTATTATTAATCATTTAATTGTACATAGACAAATAGAGAATAATTAATAGACGTGAGATTAAGGTCTGGTTTGAAAATGTTGATGAAATAATTAATAAAATTGATTCAATTGGTTATGATTATATGGCCAATAATAATAATTTAATATTTGATTATCTTAGGTTTGAGGTTTATGGTTATACATTTATATTCTTGTATATTCAATAATAATATACGTTAAATAACATCGTAGGGTCAATTTTTTTTTTTCATCTAATTACTTTACCTCAAATCCCGACTAGCACATTCCTGATCCACAACACTATATTTTTATAATTGTTATTATTATTTTTTTTCCTATTATCCAGCCTATTTTTTCTAATTCTTCTTTGTTTCATTTATTTAATGATCAATTTCATATTATGACAATTAAGTTTTTATATATATTTTTTCGAAATGAGTTTGTACTATTAAGTTTGTATAAATATTATAGACGTATAAATTTTATTATAATTGTTATTGGCATGTATTAAACTAATCATTATTTTCACTTTTGAAATACTCTCCCGTGCATCGCACGGAAAAAAAATGCTAGTATAAGTTAAGTTTAGACTAGTTTTTGTTTTCATATGCTTAATAAAAATTCCTTTCACATTATTTATCATGAACTTAAAACCTAATTAAATATATTTGACACAAAAAAAAAAAAAAAAATTATACTAGCCATCAAAATCAAACCTAATCACAATTCTCAATTAAGGCGGAAAGAGATAAGTATGATGTCAATTTATAATGAATGGATCTTGTTAAAATAGGACCAATTTTGAGTTTTACTCTTTTTTCTTTTTTGGGGTCAATATAAAAAGACATTTTAATATGTTTCTTAATACGTGTGGATGCGTGTAATATTGTTTCTTCCCCCTTATATTTATTTACCAATACACAAAATCAATAATAAATTGACTAGTGGCCGGTCGGATGAAGTGAGTATGTGTCAGTTGACACAAGTTCGAATCTCGTGTGTCAGTCGTATAATTTGAGTTTGTCACACATTGTTAATCTATCGTAAAACTTGTATGATTTGCAAGCTATTATACGAGAATAAAAGTTTACCCAATGCGCCTATATGATTGGCTGCGAGTTCCTTCGTTAAATAAATAATTAAAAACAAAAATTATATATATATATATATATATATATATATATATATATATATATATATATATATATATATATATATATATATATATATATATATATATATATATATATATATATATATATATATATATATATATATATATATATATATATATATATATATATATATATATATATATATATACAACTTAACCTAGTTGTTCATTTCTCCACTAAACACCAGAACATGCAATTTCTTGCTCTATATTGTAATTGGCCTTAAAAGTAGTATAAATTCCAAAAAATTGCAATTAATTCAATTGAGAATATATTTGGTATATCCCATTAAATAAACATTACCTTTAATGTCAACTTAATAATACATCATTCTCCATAAAGAAAAAAAAAATTTAATAATAATAATAATTAATAAGTCATGCAGTAATATATAACAGGTACAGCCTGTGACACTTTGAACTTTGAAGTATTCTTCCAATATATGGCAGCTAATGCTAATCTCCCTTATTTGGGGATAAATACTGAAATTCTCACTCATTTCTCAATTGCCAAAGTTTCATTTCATCAATAATATATATAGTAATTAATTATTGGAAACATTGGCTAAAACTATTTCAACTATATTTATATTTAGTATAGTTAACAGTTTGGCCGGATATTTAATTATTTTTTTAAAAGTCCGTCGGGCAACTTAAACTGAAAATAGACGGTTTAGACTGAAAATAGACCGCTTAGATTGATAGACATTTTAGTTACAAAATTTAGACTAAAAACAGACAAATTTAGACTGAAAATGGACAATTTAGTTGGATAATTTGGATTGGAAACAAACATTTTATTTGAAAATAACTTTTTTTCCAATGATGTTGTGGCGTAAATTAGGCAGTCCAGCGGCATGAGACTAGTAGGGAGAGGAGGAATAGTGGAAAAAATGTCATTTTTTTGAAATGCATGTGATTTCGAGAATATATTAGTTGGAGGATAATAAGGTATTTTCAGCTTAAAATGACTATTTTCTGTACACTCTACAATAAATTGCCGAATAGATTTTTAACAACATACATTGGATTATACCTCAATTGTAGCTTGATCTTGCAAACCACATACATCTTTTTTAAATTATGGCTAACTTAACTCTATATAATTTCTACATATCATATGAATGGATCAAGTCATAACGTAGATAAATAAAATATATACCCTTTTAAGAATGCCGTACACGGATGCTTTCGAATTCTGAGACACTATATATACCACTCATATATCCGAAATGAGATTGATAAAATATAAACAATTGATCAAAATTTAAAAGTATAAATAATACAAACAATTATAATGAAATATCAAACACTGTCATGATCGGACTAACAATGTCTTGGCGATACTTAAAAAAAAACAATCGACGATCATTTTTTTCCACGATCATAAATTGATTGAATTTATTCGAATAAATTTATTTGAGTATAATAATTTTTTATTGGGCCAAACATAAGTTCCAAGAGAAGGTCATTGTCTCAATATTTGCAACAATGCAACGAAATTACATAGTAATTCCTTTTAGTCAATGATAATAAATATGAAATTTAATATTCCCATAGGACAAATATTAAAGATAGGGACAATCATTAAGATAAATGTCTTCACACGCTTTCTCCACGCTTTGTCCAATTTTCCACGATCTTAGGGATAAGATTACACAAAGGCAATTTACATGGCTTATTTTACATACCTGCTACCAAATAAATTAGGGATAAACTCAAGCAGAAATCATCATTTGATATATTTTTGGAGATGCGAAACTATTATACTACCTACATGCAATTTTCGACCAACCAAACTGTATTTGACATTTCTGGTCCTGCATTTAGTATTTTCGCTGATTTATTTATTATTATTATTTATTTTACTTTTTTTTAATAAACCTGTTTGTTATATATATATATATATATATATATATTAATTTTTTTAATTTTTTTTTAATTTTTTTTCAGATCAATATGTTTACTGTACTGAAAATAACTTAATGTAACTACATGTAACTCTTGTAAACTATAGTAATTCGTAGTTATATTCTTTTTTTTTACCCCATATTTTTAGTCGATCAATTGTATACACGCACGGATACTGGCTTATACAAAAGAAATTCATAAACCCCAACGACAAAAATTTAAAAATTTCAATATTTTTATTATAAATCACCTCATAACCAATAAAATATATAAATCGAAAATACACAAATATATGCATATGTAACTACATGTTAATATATGTAACTAGCAATATATAGTAATATATAGTAATGTATACAGTCTGTTGAACATTGTAACTTGAAACAAATGTAACTTCAACCAAATTATTGACACCTTCAAGGAGATGATCAATGACTTTCATTAAGTTGCAATTGCAAAATCACAACAAAAAAATAAATTATTTTAGTGCAAATCAACAAAATTTGAAGAAACATCAAAACACTCAAAAATCAACAAACACTAGGAGATTGAGAAATAGAGAGAGAGAGGCTATAGCTGGGAAATGCTACAAATTTAAAACCAAACAGCCAGTGACTCCTCACCCCAATCGCCTCCTACCAAAACCCTAGCCGCCGCTAATAACCACCCACGGTTCCGCGCCCACAAATGAAAAAAAATATGGAAATAAATCTGACAACATAAAAATGAACGAAATTACCATCAAAATATATATCTTGACACGAGGAATCCAACGGTGGGTAGCCCGTCAAATTCCGACTGATGGAATACAAAATACACCTCCGGCAAGACCCACCGTCGTCGAAATATGCGTCGATTGAAAACAAATTGCAGAAACATATTCAGCGCTCCAAACTAAATGAAATCACCACCAAAAGAAAGAGTTTGATGAGAGGAATCCAACGGTAGTTAAACCATCGAATTCCGACCACCGGAGAGAGAGTTATGACTCCGGGAAGCAACTTCGCCGGTTGGAGATCTATGGAGGCGGGATGTAAATCTGAGATTTAGGAGAGGAAGAGAGAAACGACTATTAGTGGCTAGAGTTTAAAACTAATTTTAAAAGGGCCATTAAATGTACTTCAGGGTGGCCGAGGGGGGGTATGTCAAAATATTTTCGAAATGAGGGGGGTTTCCCGTATAGTGTAATCCACTTGGTAGTTAGTTCTATATAATTTGGAAATGAGCGGGTCTGCAAAATAATCCCTTTACAAAAAATCAATTCCAATTCCGTTTCAAAAAAATCAGAAAAAATTGGAAATTCAAAAATTGGAACGAAAAAAACTTGTTTCAAAATTAGAAAATTTTGGAACGGAATTGGCGAAATTCAGAACTTCTCAATTTTTGCTCACCTAAAATATAAAATACATAATAATATTGGCATTTAATTATAATATTAGGAAAGTTTTGGAACTTTAATTGGAGCGGAAATCGAAATCTCATATATATTCCAATTCCAATACAAATAATTTCGGAAAAATCGGAAGTCGAAATTTTGAAATTGAGATTGAAAAATATTATTCCAAAATTGAATAAATCGGCAGAAATCGAATTCGTCCCATAAGTATTAATCTTATAATCAAATAGTGTTGAATAATTCGTTTAACAAAAAAACAAAACTAAGGGAAATTGCTATTGTGCTTGAACGTTTACAACATCTTGATTATGACATACTAAAATAAAACAACGTACGTTTTCAATTAGTTTGATAGAACAAAATTATTGTCACATTAGAATGAAACAAATCCTACAACCCAAATTAAATAATAGTAATGAATAATATAGTAAATTACACCTACACCTCTGAGGTATGCTAAAATAATTTTACGGTCCTTATGATTTTGGTAATAACAGTCACGCTTCT